TTAATATTGTATCATTTCTCCAGTTGTATATAACTTTATTTTATTTCGCTAGTTCGAACAGAAATATGAGCAGGCATGATTTAAAAGAACATGTTCTATTTATAAGGAATGTTGTAGCTTATAACAAAAGATCGTTATGTAGATGAAACTGTCAAATTACATTTTTATTTCAGGCTTCTTTCTTTTAGAGGACTGGGCCTATTAAGCTCACAGTATAACCATTACAGCTTTATTTATATAAAAATAAATACAATTTATCCACATGTCCTCTGTATTAAGACTAACTTCTACATATAATGTTGAAGTATCCCATTGAATTTGTGCTTTCCTCGACTGAATGATGACCACTTGAAGCTGGCTATTTCTCTCCCATCACACAACTTTCATTATGTTATTCATTCAACTGAATGCAATGTTATCTTTGCAACAAATTCCACAGAAATGTGTGTGTATGGATCAGCTAAATAAATACATACACAGCTCCAGTTTACAAATGACTCATACAAGGTTGCATACAGTCCATCTTTATTACTGTTCAAATGTAAGTAATCTGAATACTTTTACAAAGGACAGTTCTTTACGCATAAACATTTGTATGCGTGACTAATGTAGGTAGAAGGAAACTGAATAAGCATGTGTAATCAGAAAGGTTGTAGGATAGATATGATGATGTGCAGATGTTTGTGAAGATATAGAGTGCAAAGCAGCCATGTTCTGTAAGTGGGAACTGATATCAGTATATGGGGCCATCATCCAGGTTGTCATCCTCCTCATCAAGGTAGTTCTCTCCATTGTCAAAGTAGTTGTTGATGTAGTCAGTCCCCTCATCCATCTCCTCATCTGGGTCATCCTCCATGTCTTCCATCACTCCTTCTTCACCATCTTCCTTCTCCTCATCTTCCTTCCCCTCTGCTTCATCACCTCCTCCTTCTGTGTCACTCTGCTGTTCTTCCTTCTTCTCCAACTCGTCCAGTCTGTCAATCAAGAGCAGACAATTTCTTAAAACCTGTTTCTCCGTTGCTCTCTCAAGTATGTGTTTGAAAGTAGGGTACACAGCAGAATATTTGGACCCAAGAGTGATTAAGTGTGAGGAGGATGGAGAAAACTGCATTCTTCACCAAATATTATTATGATCAAATGAAGGAGAATGAGAGAGGCAGAGTATCCATATGAGAAAGTCATACAAAAGTTAGGTTATAAATCCTGAAGGGAAGATAACACTTGATGGGAGGGTAATTTTAAAATGTAGGATTTGAGGTTTTCAGGGTGGTCATCTGGGTTGTTGTGCCATACAGTCTGGTAGAAGTTTACTGACATTTCAGAGGTCCATGCTGCTTCCATCATCAGGGCGATCACCCTGATGATGGAGGCCACAAAGACCCAGAAGACAGCCTTCTTATAATTTTAAAATATTTCTTGGGGAAATTGGGTTGGAAGGTCTGGATTGGATTCATCTGGCTCAAGATACGGAACAGTCATGGGCTCTTGTGAACAGCAAAGAACCTTTGGGTTCCATAAAAGGTAGAGAATTACTTGACTAGCAGCATGTATTATTAGCTTCTCTCAGACTGCTCCATGGATATATTTTTCTCAAATACACAGATTATATAGCACTAAGTGGTGAGATTATTCTGAAATTAATTGGGAAGTTTATGGAAGTGGTCATGGCCTTTATCATAGTATTCTTTTGGAAGTACCAAGGATAACTACAAAAGTTTTAGGACAGCTCGTATCTCTTAAGTACAAAGCAGGGATGCTAATCACCGCTGTCAGTTAAGAAGTGATGTTATCACAATCACTCATAATACCAAAAGTAATACCTGCCAACTATGTCCACAGATTTCCTGATGATTTTAGCTTGTTTTTCCGTGGATTTTGCCGGCTGCTGCTTCCGTTTGCCAGTGATCTTTGTTTGTGGCCTCAGCTCTGGGGGGAATCGTGCCCAATCAAACTTGAGCTCTCCATGACTCTTCTTTGCCAGGGCTACTTGGTAGCGGTCTGAGTACCGCTCAATGTCAGCCTTTGCTGCAGTGGGTGTGATAAATGCTGGTGACTCTCGTAGGAACTCTACGAAGTCTCGCTTCAGTGCCAACATGTACTCCCCCTCAACACCAGTTTGGAGAGGTACAGGTTTGTTCTCCATTGGTGGGTAAATAGGAGGAGGTTGTAGAACTGGTCCTGGCAGAGCCTCTCCTGCAGTGAACCCAAGCTGTTCCACATTAAAGGACATGGAAGCCCGCCCCCTACCACGACCACCTCCTCTACCTCGACCAGCCATCCTGTTGTTACTATTGTGCAGTGGCCCTCAGTTTTTCTTTGTTGGAACCAGATTCTTTCTCTTCCTCTTCCTGAAAACTTTCCTGAAAAAATCATTAACTGTCATTGGATCTGAACAGTTAAATGACAGATTAAGTAAACTTTGTATTGATGATGATAAAGTTTGCGGTTATAAACAAAAGAAATCAATTTTAAATTAACTAGGATCAATCAAGCCCTTCCCACACATACTGTCTCAACAAATTACAGCAATGCCCACTGTGCATGATGGCATGAACTTACCGGATCATAAATAACTTTCACTATTAGCGAACAACTTGGGCACGTTGCAACTTCTTCACCAGCTTTTAGTTCCTCCTGCAATAACGTTAAAATTTTAAATATTTGTATAAAAGCACATGGTCAAGTACTTTAACACATCCCTCAGAAGTACCTTTGTAATTTGAAATCTGTCTCCACATGGGCAAGGATAGTAATATGTTTCGTCCTCTTCGTCGTATTCAAAATCTTCGATTTCAATTTCATCATGATATATGGACATAATTTTCGAAAAAGTGAAACTGTCAAGATTTCATGGTTAGAATATTATGATTTTGAAGCTATGAACGACATCAACATATGAGTACTGTCGATATAGAAGATGGTCGAATTGCAAGATGTTAACTAGATGATGTCTCGAACCGAAATGGTCAGATAGCTTTGTCTATAACCTCTTGCAGTGCTGTTGGATGGTGGTATACAGTTATTTAGGGCAGTAATGTAGATGTAAAATTGTAGATGCCGATTTGTTGTAGCGCTAATGATGATCCAGCGACCTTGTTCTGTTTGTTTCGAATTAAATTAAGTATACATTGTCTTAAATATGGCAGGAAGCTATTATTTTGTAATAGTTGGTCATTCGGACAATCCAATATTTGAAATGGAATTTGCTCCAGCAAGCAAAGAAGCCAAGGTGAGAAGGAAGCAGTAATATTTCTTCACGTTTTCCACGTATGAATTTGTTTATGTTTATTATACTTTTTGTCAGCAAGACCCTAATTGTGTAACATGTAGGTGGGTATGATTTCATTGTATCTTAAAACATTAAACAAATTAAATAAAACGAGAGTTCAAAGACATATACGTAGTCACTGCTTTGAAAATTACCCCGTAAATTAAACATTAGTAATATAGAAACTGTAATTCCACTATATTGTATGTGTCGTAATCCAAGTGTTGATTAACCTTCATATGTACATACATACATCATACATCTTTATTACATTCCATGGATCCATAAGTTAGTCAGATGACAATAG